TCTCAGCCATGTGATGAGCCGTGGGAACACACAGTCCTGGCCACACCCGAGGTCAAAAGACTGGCATATTCTTGATTACGTGTTGATCCGCGACAAGAAGGACATGAGGATCACCAGGTGCTGATGATTGCTGAACCAATCACCGGCTTGTGATCTCTCGTCTCAATTCTTCCATCCGTTCATCACCTCCTCAGCATCCAAATACTCAAAAGCGCAAACCGAGATACGACTGTCGCAAACTGAAGGACTCAGAAACATCCCAAACCTTCCAAGAAGCAGTTGTAAAATGCAGGGATCAAGGCCGTCTACTTGTGCCTTGACAACTTTTGGCGAGATCAAGCATTGTTGGAGAGAACATTCCTATCCTCCTAAATAACCACTCTAAAACCCTAAAAGTCCTGCTAAATTATGTATGGCTCTTCCCACATTATCCCAGGAATTCATAAAAGCCACCAAACGAATGAAACCTGGAAGAGCACCCCGATCCAGATAACATCCCCTTGGGGCTCTTCATACATGAGGATACAGATTGGGAACTAAGCTGATGCTTCGAATATCGGATATCAAGACCATCATTACCATCTTCAAGAAAGGACACCGCTCAGTGTGAAACAAATACCGTGTCTACTTCATCTGCAATTCCTGCAAGATTTTTACCGGAATTATTCTGTATTGTTTGTTGAATGTTGCGGAAGATGTACTCCCAGAATCTCAATACGGCTTTTGGCGGTCACGTGAAACGATTGACTTTAGCGCAAGGCAACTCCAGAAAAAAGTTTGGGAACAGCAGCAACCACTCTTCTTCATCTTTTCGGACCTCTGCAAAGCCTTCGACTATCAGCGATGTGGTCTGCACTTCGTTGCTTTGGTTGCCCCGTTTTCTCCGTCAACCTCATCATTGTGCTACATGAAGGCATGGTAGGATGCATCTGCACGCAGAATGCACTCTCCGTACGATTTCCCATTTCCGGAGGTCAGAAACAGAGCTGCGTCCTAGTTCCAACCCTCTTCTTCATCTTCCTAGCGGTGATGCTCAATGAGATCGCATATCATATAGACAAAAACAGTTTACTCACTACAAAGATGCAACTTCGTTTCGGTGCATTTCAACTGTACCTCAACTAGATCTAGTAATATATATATATATATATATATATATATCCGATGCAATGAGAACGAAAGTAATAGATAAACTCTAACGTTCACAGCATTAATCCAAAAGAGGGCTCGATACCGATAGTAGAGCGATGATTATTTATTTTGTCATACAGACAAAACTATTTTACTCACTACAAAGATGCAGCTTCGTTTCGGTGCATTTCAATTGCACCTTGACTGGTGAGAACAATTTTGACGTCACTTCCTTTTTTCCATTTGTTTGAGAAAAATATACATGAAGCAAAAAGTTGACGGAGTAAAAAAATAGTGCTTGTTGATAGGAGTTTGGTGTAGGATGTGTATGTTGGAATTATCACTACTAATTCTATAATCAATGAAAGTGTTTTGTAAATTAATAAATTTGGAAGTGGTGATTTCTTCTTCGTATGTTGAATATATAAGTTATTCGGGTTTTCAAAAAGCCATCTTGATTAGAAATACAAGTAGAAATATATATGTATACATAAAAAAAGTATTGGATATTAATATAGCTTTTATAATAGTAATAACTCCAACATAAATATATGCAATTCAGCTTTTGCTTGGTTTTTTTATAGTAAACAAAAAAAAAACATTCTCAACAACTACTATAACTATTGTTAGAATTATCCCTCCTACTTCTTCCATCGTATTACTATCTCCTAATCCCACCTTACCTCCCCAACCATTCACTCTTAGGACGCTTGTGAGGTGATGTGCCTAAACTTTTGACCGTCGTTTATCGGCAAGCAATCTTCCCAGACTAGCCAGCGTTCAACCCCTCACCCATCCTTCACCAAACTGCTATCAACAAGCACTCTTTTTTCACTCCGTCACCTTTTTGCTTTATGTATATTTTTTCTCAAACAAGTAAAATAAAAAAAAGGAAGTGATGTTGTTTCAAATACGGCTTGCCCACAAGCAGAATTGATCATAACCATTTTTGGTTTTCACCAATCGAGGTGCAATTGAAATGCACCGAAACGAAGTTGCATCTTTGTAGTGAGTGAAATAGTTTTGTCTATATGACAAAATAAATAATCATCGCTCTACTATCGGTATCGAGCCCTCTTTTAGATTAATGATGTGAACGTTAGAATTTATCTATCACTTTCGTTCTCATTGCATCAGATATATATATATATATATATATATATATATTACTAGAGCTATAAAATTTAATAATAAATGCAATAAAAACGGACATATTAAAATCAAAGTCTATCAAAGAATAATCAAACATAGTTACTGTAAAGAGGTAAAACGAAAATCAATTTGAATTATCCTTTCTCAGTACCAAGAACATGCCTTGGCTATAGGACTGTGAATATTGATGGTTATTTAAGAACGGATCAACTATCACTGGTCTCGATGTATTACTGTATCTTTTTAATTAACAAGATTCAAACATGTAGTGTGCCGGCAAGATTCAAACCTGTAGTGTGCTTTAAAGGCAAAATAGAAGATTTGTCTAACGTGGCGCTCTCTGTAGCCGAACGGTAAAAGCACATTAGATCAAAATGTGGATCCTCCTGTAAACGCAGGTTCATTTCCTGCCACAGGGCTAATTTTTGAAAGCTATATCGAGTACGCATTCCGGTATCTACTGTTTAAAATAAATGTATATTCAATTATTTGTATCCACTAAAAATAACGTCTGAAGTAATATATATATATATATATATATATATATATATATATACTCATCCACAGACCGACTGTTTTTCTGTATCACAGCTCCTCAGTGTGGCAAGATGTCTGATTTCTTCAAGCAGAGAACGAAACCCGATTAATTTGATATCAGTCATATCTTAACCCTGGACCATCGTCGCAAGAATGAAAGTAAGGGAATTTTAACGTTTATTTATATATATATATATATATAAAATTTCAAGTGGGAAGTGACCGACCACGACTGCCAGTTTCATGTGCGTTCACAGAGTCATCAGGTGGTTGGTAGTTTGCGAAAATAGGAACTCCTATACCACCAGGCAGGTCCAAGAGGGTAAGCCAACCTAAATCGCCGGAGGGGGGGGGTAACTTATCCTGCTCAAATCATATATATATATATATATATATATATATATATATATATATATATATATCTTCTCGATAGAACCCTGACGGGCGAGGAATGAAAACGAATTAAGATTTTTGTTCTCTTTCAGGTAACTAGAAACTTTTGTTTCCTGATATTTTATTTTATTATGTCTACTTTAACTGCCGATATTGAGAGAGACATACAATCTGGGCGTGATACTTCCGCCCTCATATTACGTGCATGTAATTATATGGGTCAAAAGATGTCGTAGACCTACTGTCTCTTAGCTTCACATTTTCATGTATTATTTTCGCCCTATCAAATCACGTTAGGAAAAATGGCCGTTAAAGACTTTCTCTCAATTCTCATTCATCTGAAGACTAAAAAAAAGATACTCAGTAGAAAGAAAGAACAGGCTCAATGCATGGCATGCATTCATTTCTCAAAAGGGCCGTCAATGTAGCCAATAACAATGCTTAATGAGAGTTCCACTTCTTTTAATGTATTCTCTGTTCCGTTTGCGCATGTGCGCGAGTGTACGTTCACGCTGATCCCATGTGGATGAAAAAATACCTTTGATGCCCTCAACCTCGTTTCAGTGAACGAATCATTTGTGGTGGTGGAGTTTTTCAGAAGCGGCTCTTAACAGAACATGTGACCTATTCCCCACCCCCAATCGTAATTGGCCCACACAATGTGATAATCTTTTCAAATACAAATTTGTGATCGATAATTTTCTTTCTTGGGATAATTAGATAACCGAGTATCAGCATACATTTTCATTTCATGTATACAAGTATATATATATATATATATATATATATATATATATATATATATATATATATATATACATACAACGGATGAATATATGTCGAGTATTTATAGGTATTTACATCGCTTCGCTTAATCTGGAATAAGTGTCGGGCTCTCAGTCAGGAAAAAGTTTCTATTTCGATTAAATGACTTTGAAATTAGCGTGTTAACCACTGTCTTTCGTCAATACACCCAAATCGATCAAATCCATAACTGATTTTACTAAATTTAGCTTACCTTTTCTGATTACTGAGTTTATGTTTATTTATTTCGTATTTACGCTCGACCTAATATCCTCATTTTTGTTGTTGTTTTGGCCGTTCTACCTTACCGCCTTCTTCATGTGGACAGCGGAACGAGAACAATCTACCCCATATAGATTAAAAAAGGATCCAGTTCCATTTACCCGTAGGTTGCCCGGATCGACATACACCTGATGAAAGCCGGAAGGCACAACGACCGAAACATTTTGATGAGGACAATATACTAAATGTAAATCGTGTAAATCATGCTCTTCATCCCGGAAATTCAGACAGAAATTATTTCGTTAGTTTTTTGAAACGGAAATATTGAAACTTTCGCCAATGTTGATTCTATATTTTATTTTTCTCTGTAAATTTGCTAACTAAATATATATTCTTTTAATAATTAAATGTATTAATTCATATTCTTCTGGATATAATTCCAAACGGAAATCTCTTAGAGACCATGATTGACTGATTGATATTTTTACGGCTTATCGACCTTCTGCAAGTTATTTAAAGCCAGAAAATATTTTCAAGTTGTAAGGATTTTTTTATTTTTAGATAATAATAATTTAGTGATGCAAGTCTTATTAATTAACCCATAGCTTGGGGTAGAAGAGGTGGATTCATAGCTTTCCCAAGGGTATTTTCTCGTAACTGAATATAAAGAAACCAACAGAAATTCGAACTTTGGTCTCCAATTAACAATTCCGAGCCATTATCCATTACACTACCCGCATATCCAAACTTAAAGGATTTGTTCTTCTCAAGTGGTCACTCATTTAGGTACTAACAAGGCTCGACATTGCTTAACTTCGGTGATCTTATGGGAACCGGTGTTTTTACGCGATGTTGTCGTAAGCCATTTCAGCGACCAGGTATGCCAGATATGAAAATATAATTCGCTGTGAACAATACAATTATATTTTCTTCATATCTGATCTGCCTTTAAATCACTCACTGGTAATGTTCAAATAGTCATACAGCTTCCAAGGAGAATATGATGAGACAGAATATATAATCCTGAAAATAGCCTCCGTTCAAGGAATTGCTTCCGTGTAAGTTATCTCCCCTGATAACGATCTATTTGATTACCAGTGATCAACTCAATATCATTTGTAGATTTGTGTTTAAAAAAAAAAATCTAAAAGTAGAGAAATATATTATTTTAATTTGAAATCAGCTTTGATTCCTCGCTAAGTGATTCAACTTAGCAGCGCAGTAGTTATAAAACCACAGAAATTGATCGTCGTATCAAACAGGAAAGAATAACAAAAAATAGAGTTATTATAAAAAGGAGAGAAACGAATTTCCATTCCTTTCTCGTCAGAGCTCTATCAAGAACAAAAAATATATTGAAAAACACCAAAAACAGGATGTTATATATATTAAATATATATTCATCAAAGGCAATTGTTGTGCAAGATTGAATGAGTGTGTGTGTGTGTGTGTGTGTATAGATATGTAGAAAAATAGGAAAGAATACCTTCATCCTCAAGCGAAAATTTTGGAATCCTAAATTTTCGCTTGAGGATGAAACAGGACCTGATACTTTAATTCAATTTCATCTTAATAATTATATTGAGGTTTTCGGCTCTCGTTTTTAAAACATGAGAACTCTTATGTAGCGAAGGAATCATATTTTTTTTTAAATAATTATAATTTAAGCTCTACTTCTGTATGGAACACTGTTTTTAAAAAAAATAAAAACAAAAATACTAAAGAACTCCGGATTATTTACCTAACGTTTTCTACATATCTGCACACACACACACACATATATATATATATATATATATATATATATATATATATATATATATATATATGTATGTATGTATGAAATGTTCATACAAGGTGTTTATATGTTTTTGTAAGAGATTTGATATCTGGGAAAAAAAAAAAAGGTAATCTTTAGTACTTATCTTATGTTGATTGTCACGAGCCTGAGAATAAGTACGTCTTTCTAGTTTGACTGCCAGGAACCAAAGAGGATTCTTGACTCTCACGTCTAACGATCCCTTGGGTAGTTCACGTGACCATCTATATATCTATTTTTAATTTTTTAAAGGGTTAGTCAAAGGAAGATAACTTTTGTGTCTCTCAACAAAATAACGCACTTGGAAAATCACCATCTTTCGACTGTTATTACCCTGTAACCCAGTCCAGGTTGCATGTTAAACGAAGAAGTAGTCCTCAATACATCGAGAAATGACATTACGAACTTTGCATGGTATATCAACGATTTTAGGATAATTTAATTTGATACTGACCTTAAATTATCCCTTTCGCAATACTTCAAACTGGATGAATTTGCAAAACTTGAATCGCTTATAAATCCAGTAGCGGTAAACACTGTTTGCTTCTTCTAATGAACAAACCAGTTTTCGTCGTCCATTTTGTTTAAGATACTGCTAAATAGAATGATGCTCTAAATCATAAAAATAGAGGCCCGATTACACAACTTGTAGGAAATTCAATTCAAAACTAGTCTATCCAATTTTGATACTTGTTTTAAAAATATTCAATAAAAGATAAAATTATAATGCGAGTAGCAATCTTTTAATGGATATCTTTAAAGCTAATACGCTATTAGATTTAAAGATGCCCATTAAAAGATTGCTACTCGCATTATAATTTTATCTAACTTTATCACAAACATGTGGATTTAGAAGTCTTATCTCTACTACACAAAACAAAATGCCACGACAGAGTGTTTGTTTATGAAATCATTCTTTCGTCAGGAGCAAATCTCAAACGATGCGTGACTGATAGACACAAAAAAATTCGCCGTGATTATATCTTGCCATATTTAATTATATTTCGTGAATTTTACTATAAAACCCAAAACCATACAAAAATATGAAACGACCATGTTAATAAAGATAATATATCTTAATATAGGAAATGATGCATTGTCTCAAAAACTGCGTAAATATTTTGTGCCATTATTTTATGGCAACGAATAAATGTTAAAAACAAGAAAACATGAAGGAAGAATAATGCCAGGTTTTATGAAAATGAGTGAGTCTTTCCAATAACAACACCCAAACACCTCCATTATTTTTATTGTTTTATGGCTCACAGAACTCAACAGATTTTATTCTCTTTCTTTATTTCGACCTGAAAGAAATACTGGATACTAAATAGAGGATTATTTTATATACATAAAAATTATGTTGGAATTTTTTTTAATCTACAGACCGATATGTTCCGGAAAGGGATATATTTGTTCGAAGTAGCAAAGTGGTTGTTGACTACTGTAAAGATTTTTCAAGAGTAGCTTAGATGTGGCACAAGGCCGAAAGCATGGGGCATCCAGTGAGGATCGAACTCACTTTTCAGTAGTAACTGACATAGCAAGACAAGCTTGCTAACCATTACACCACGCCGAGGTGTTCTTGTTGACGACCGTAACCGAGTAGGACAATCAAGCAGGGTCCTCGTCGTAGTGGTAGCCAATAGGCGTCGTCTTCTACCTCCACGTCAGTCTGTATTTATGGCTGACGCCAGCCAATCATATTACTGTGAGGGGGAACGCAGATGCATGCATATTCATTACGTCACAGACTGAGCAAGCATAAAACCCTAGCATCCATATCTATACTACACAAAATCATAAATTGGATTTTAGTGAAATTCGTCCGATGCTGTTAACCACAATTATAAAACTGATTCTACTTTACCGGTGATTTCATTTAAATATGTCTTGGCAGTACAAAGTTGTAGTTGATACGCAAAATTTGGAAGAATTTGAAAAGAGCACGCCGCCAATGCCTTTCGTGGGGAGTATGCTTTCTAAGAACGTTCTAATGTAAGAAATTCTCTCCTAAAGTAGAAAAGGACTGCTTCGAAAGAGGCGGTGAAAACGAGTTGTTAGATAATGTTATTTTTCTGTTGTCAGATTTCTTCAACATTTGTGTAGCACTCCATAAGCGCATACATTTTCATATTTGTGCGTTTTAATCTAATATTAAACATTTCATTATGTATATAATACTAAATATTTGCTTCTGTATGTAACTTCTAAAAAGCCAAAATTGTGCATTGTTGCTTTAAAGTATATTAAATTATATATAAAAATGTAATATAATTTGGGCAAATATCGTGACGTCTGTAACAGAGCTGGATTGGAAAAAGGTTATTCAAGGGAGTTAACTATTAAATATTAATTATTACATACTATTGCTTATTCATTTACTTGTTTCAACATATTGCATAGAAGTAATGTAATCTATGGCAGAACGAATTCAGTGATATTCATTTTTCAATTATACTTTCCTCTTGAATGTGACCCAACAAGTAACAAGCCTGTCTAGGGAATTCTAAATATTTGAATCATTAAAATAAAAATAACTTCAATATTTGAAACATTAAGATAAAAAATAACTCCAGTTGGAAAATAGCATAACATGCAAATCTACTCTTAGTCAAATTAAAAAAAAAAATTTCTGATTCAGTTCAGAGAGTCTTTTCATTATTAATTTAAAGGTATAAGTAGAGCTTTCATCTCGAAAGATTATTATTCTGTTTGAGAAACTTCTAACCTTGCAAATACTCGGAATATATTCAAAATAGTAAAATATTACAAAATTTCAGTGTTTGAAGAAATGCACTTAAAATAGTACCGAACTCTAATTATTTGTAACATTTATTTAAAAAAAAAAACGAGCAAAGTTACAAAAACAACGCTCTTTCTACTATTATGCTTACTTAAGAAGTATTTTAATAACCACTACAAATATCAACGAAACTTCAAAAATATCAATTTCTTTGTAGCTGCTTATTTTTCAATTTATAATTTTATTTTCACCGATTTATAGATAGATAGATAGATAGATATGCGTGTGTGTGGTGAAATACACAGATACATACATAGTAATATTTATTTTGAGAAATTTATTTAAACGATGTAAATTAAGAAAACCATTAAAATGTGGGGCAAATGCACTGAATTCAAAAATAGTAGCAAAGTAAACCAATTAAGAAATAAGAAATTGTTCTTAATATGTCTGTCTCTTTCAAGTGGTCGTGATTTTATTTGACATGATCATCAATTTACTAATGAGTGTTTGTATAACAAGTCTGTTCTGAGCAAAGAAAACCCTTTTCAGATGTCATATAATTTCTAATGTTTTGTTTTTCGAATTGGTTACATCTAAGCATTAATAGATTTTTTTTATCGTTATAATAAAATAATTCTTTAGTTCGATTATATAATTTATTTTAATAGTATTTCAATCGATTTGAACTGTTTGGATATTTTCTGAGCTTGATCGATTTTTTCTTTTTTTTTTGTGGGGGGATTTTTTCTATTTTGAATAAATTTAAATAACTATTGAAAGATGTTATTTGCTATCGTAGAATATATCTACTGTAATGTACTTGCTATTCAATGATGTTAACGAAAATAAACAGTATTTCTAACACTGCCTCCAAAGCCTGCTATATTTACCAGCTGTAGAACCAGTTTGTATTGGTTGCCTCAAGTTCCAGTTCCGATACTTGAATGCCCTTTCAAGACGTTTTTGGTGATGTACATCGGTTAGCATAAGTATATATTAAGGACCTCTGGTTTTTTCGCATAAATTTTTGATAGCTAAGGTTTAAAATTAAATTTTAAAAATGAAAAATCTTTCTTGAAGATTTCATTTTAGCTTTAATTGAAAGTTTAATAATTAAATTTATTATTTCCATTAAGTAAAACATTCTGGAGTATTTCAGATAGAAATTATATAGATTGAAATGTCAAATTTAATTTTGATTTCTTAAAATTCTTAAAAGCCGCCATTTTCTTAATTTTAAGAAATTTGTAAACAAAACAAGTTTTTTTTTCTATTTTAAAAT